TTCTTGGTTTTAATTACCACCTATATACGGATGACACCCATCAAACCTCTTCTAAGCTTTACACCCATAATTCTATAAATTCAGTGTATCTCCCAACATTTCCCATATTCAGTATGTCCTTAACAGAGTTTATTATCTTTTCTTCCCTATTTACTCTTTTGTTACTTTTTCTGTCTACATGATAACATCATCCTTCAAGTTTCCCATGATAGAAACCTGGTTATTATTCTAGACTGCCTCTTCTGTTCTCAGTCAAGCTTCAAGTTCTATTGAGTTCTTTCTAGATATTTCCCAGATTTTAGATCCTTTGTTCTTGTGGGAGCAATCTGCTTTTTGCTTCCAGTTTTCTTTTCTATGCTATTGGTAGAGTAAGCTGAATTTTATCCCACTGTCTTGTTTTCTATCTGCCTGGAGTTTATATTTGAATTGTATCTGACTGTATCCCCTTCTTATTTATTATGACAGAAGAGTCTCTGTGACTTAGTCTTGCTGCCTCTCTAGGTTTATCATTTACTACTATCTGCCTTGCTTATTTTGCTGTAGTAATATATGATACATCTCTATACATCATTGTACTTTGAAATAAACTATTACCTCTGAGTCATATGCACTTGTTCCTTTTGCTTGGTTTAGCCTTTAAAATTTAATGTAATCCTCCTCTCTGTCCAGAAGCCTTTTCTGTGTCCTTCAGCATGGGTCAAAGGTACCATTTCTGTGCCTCATCATGATTGTTGTACCAACCCCGTAATATTAAAGGGTATTTATTTCTCTGTCCTTGCAGACAGAGGTGGTTCTATACAGTGGAAAAAGACTTCAGGGCTGAAAATAAAGTAATGACTCAGAAAATTTTGGTTTTGATATTTTAGGTTGTTAGTATCATCTATTATAAATCATTTTCTTTCTAAATGATGACAAAATCTAAGCTAACCTTGTGGACTGTCTACTACTTGGATAGATATGTGTTAAAGAAGTNACCTGTCTTCTATTTCTAAATTGTAGTTACAGATGTAGAGCTGAAACGACTGAAAGATGCCTTCAAGAGGACCTGTGGACTCTCATATTACATGGGCCAGCACTGCTTCATCAGGGAAGTGCTTGGGGATGGAGTGCCTCCAAAAGTTGCTGAGGTAATCTCTGTGTTCTAGGTTTTTCCTTTAAGGTAGTTATCTGCCAGCTTAAATTCTTGAGGGGCCTCCTGGACTTAACAGATTTAATTTTCTGCAGTTATTTTTCTTGCTGAGTATGTAAACAGGTTTTGTTTTATATGTCAATATGACTGTGTCCTTAGAGCCCAAATGGGAGTACTACAGAGATGCAATTCTGCTTCTTTTGTACTTTTGTGCTTTAATAGCCACTGATTATAATCATGGGGCCGTTTGTATGGTTGGCTTCTCATTCTTACAAACTTCATCTCTCTGACGTAAAATTTTTGTGTTCTGAGTATGTTTTATGAGTTTTATGTTAAAGAAAATATTTTCATATAGTAAAACCTAGTTAATACTATAAAATTAAATGTTACAAGTGAAACACTAGTTTATTGGAACTTATTTAAATTCTTACTTAAACTCTACTAAAATGTTCAGGTAGAGATAAAAACTGCTTAGTTGATACAAATATTCCCTTTCTAAAAATAAAAATTTT